TTAAGATTCAAGGCTTTTAACTAAAATAAATGGCTTTTTATGCAACGGCTGTATTAGCTACAGTGTTATGGATTTGGCTCAGCCAGAGCCAGAGCAAAACGTTCTTTATTCCAGCAGCACTAGAATTAATGAATTCTAATTAGTACGCAATTTATCTTTTGGAAGACAATTTTCAATTTTTGTGAAAGGTATTTATGGCTTCTCTTCAATTTTCTTACCATCGCTTCGAATACACCTAATCACACTTTGGTGGTGTATTATTCATAAAAAAATGAAAAATTTATAAATATCATGCATTTAATATCGATTATGCATATTTTCCAAGCTCTAATGATTAGTTAATGGGATAAGCAAACATCTTACGATACGTTATCCCAAATATTTGCGTTTTCGAATGCCGCATAATCCCAGATCCAGCACCAATTCCACATCCCAGCCCCTTTATCAAGTTACTAATCTTTCTCTACAGCTCCGCTATTTCCCGACCACGGCCAAACATCCTGGCATATAATACAACAGGCAAATCACGCCACGTCTCAGAATTCAATTTGGCGGCCTTAATTCGCTTACTTCGATTGTAAGATCCGAAAATAGACTGCGGCATTAATCGAAGTTTACAAGACACGATAAAATCTTCTTGCCTGACACAATTGCAAAGGAGCAGGAATTATGCACGGCTGGCTCTGTTAACGAACGTTTCTCAGAACATTCGCCGGATCTCCCCGAAAATTGAACAGAACACATTTCACATAAATGCTCTGGCAGATACGGTGCATTAAAATGCTCCATTTACCCGGAAATAAGACCCTGCCGAACGCGATAATATTGATTCTTTTTACGCGTGTCCTAGTATCAACTGAAATAAAATGATATCGATTGATTTTGTATACCTACGTGAGTATCTTTCGAGAAACATTAGAAACAGGCACTACATCTTCTCTGTATAAAATATATTTTAACAGGAAAAATGTTTTATGCATTGAAAATTAATCCCTAAGGGTATCCATTAACTTGAAGTAAGTTTTTCGTGGAATAATACATCAGAAAAAAAATAATTAAAAATATTATCAGAAATGAATTAGTAACTTTTAAAACGATGCATATTAAGTATAAAATTAAAAAACCATATTCTAGAATTCAAATGTGTTAGGACTTAATTAGTAACCACTAACATTCGTTCTATATTAAACGATTAAGGGGACCTATCCACCTTTAAAATACTTCATAGTGTGTTACTAAGCAGGAGAGTGTTATTTCCGAAATAATTTCCTAAAGAATAATATTCGATTTCCTATCGTCACACTGGAAAATCGAAAGGTGTATTTTGAACGAATTTTGATATCATCGAAACAAAACTTTATTTTGTTCAATCCATTGGATCTACGCAAATTCGATTTGTCAGCGAAAGCGAATCTCGTATGCTATACATGCCATACTAATTTTTAATTATTAAATTAGTATTATTTACAAAAACAAACGAAATTTTACAATGAAATTAAAGGTAATCAATGAAGTTGAATATTTACAATACATTGAAAATTGTATTTAATTAACGAATGTATATTTGAATTAAGAGACGATTAATTAATATTTATACGTAATTGTATCAATTAGTTCTTTTATATTAAATTAAAATCTGCATGAACTACTAGGTGGTCTATGTTATTAACCCTTAACTACTACAAGTACTTAACTTCTACAAAACAATATGCGTTTTACTAACAAAGTAATAAAACAAAGTTTGAGAGACCCATTTGTACCAGTTACATACAAAATATTTAGTTGTAGCAGTTAAGGGTTAAACGACTATAGGTAGTAATAATACCATATTTATACCTGTAAGCAAAATGAATGGTAACAAAAAATATTTGCTTTTATTAATAATGCAATAAATAAATTTAGCACACCCAAAATGTAAATTAAATTCTCTTATCATGCATTTTATATCCCATGATAAAAATTCTCCCGAATGATAAACACGTCCTGTTTAATTTTCATACCTTTTTAATACATTTTGAAGTACCCATTTTTGATGAAACAAAATGCTTTCAAAGACCGTGTAGCCTTTTAGGAAAGTAATTTTCGTCTTTACCTGCTCCGTTATAATTGAATAATCCAGAAAATTTCATTTTAATGACTGTGTCGTCGAGTATGGAGGCAACTAGATAGAATGAAAAAGGAGTAAAAAACGCGAAAAAGGGAGAGAAAACTGCAATCAAAGGAAAGCTCGCACTCTGGATTCAGCACGAGACGAGATCTCGCCGAGGACCAAATTACGTAGCAAGTGGTGGCCAACATCACACGGAAAAGACGAGAATAGAACGAAAAGTTAGTGGGAATGACGTGACTTATTTCCGAGGATTTCGTTTGAAAATCCCATATAACCACTCACAGATTACTTTATGAAACTTTTATATTCTTGTAACAGCGCATTCGTTCATATCCCTTTCTTCTATTACAGTTTCTCGAACGTTCTGCGGTTTTTAAACATCGATCGAATTTACTATTAGATGATCTACATACTACGTAAATATCCCATATGTACATACAGTTCGACAGGAATAAGAATAGGATGAGCTTCGTACATTATTTAACATTGCGCATTCCACTTTGACGACTTCAGCTATTCCTGTCGATCCGTACTTACTTACAAAATTGGCAGCGTTTATTTAATATTTAATTATACATACACTGTGCTTCATTCCAGATCGCAACATATGTTATATATAGGCTATAGGTGCGATAAAGACAACTTCTATTAGACACTTACAAAGGAAAAAAGAAAGAGTGATATTTGTGTCATTGCAATTTTTCACTCTGACAACTGTTATTTTATTAATCTTTCTTTGTTCAACTCATAAAAACGACCATGTTGCGATCTGGAATGAAGCACAGTGTATAATTATCGCTTTGTTTCTCTTTGGTTCTTATTTGATTCTAATATTCAAACCTCAACCAATAGGGTAATTTATGAGAAAATTAATACTCTTACGAATCATAAACAAGAAATTGCAGGATATTGACAGGATAGGAATTCACAGGATATTAACCGAAAGATTCGGTTATTTTTCCCGCTTTGACATTAACTGTTTCCTCTATTAGAACCAAACCAATATCCTGGATTAAGGTAAAATTTCAATCGAGACTTCAAAACCAAGTTCATCGCTTATTAAGTATTTAGACTTTAGACATTCGTTTAACTTTTAGAATAAAAACGTCTGCATTGAAATTTCCATGCAATTTTTCCCTTAAACGGTCTGAGCACTAGTAGATATAAACTCGGAAAGACCATCGTCCATCAGGAGGGCATTATGGAGACAAATTAAAAGTATTTTACTTGAGAATAATCCGGTGAGCTGAATTATGGTTTCAATCAAGCCCGACTGTCCAGTTGGCTGGTCTCAAATTACAAGCGATATCCATTCTGGGATTTCCAGATTACGTCCTGTATAGTCGCAGTAGGTGTAGTGGGCAGCTACTGCTTTTTATTTTCCCTTCCCGGATTTCAGGGCGCTGCAATCGTATCTGTCCTAATACGGTTTTTTCCGGGATGAAACTTTTTGCCATTAGGTATATCTACTGGTGGATTTCAATTGCGACTGGGCTACGTTAGTTAATTCCCGGCTGTAATGAGAAATATATGCTCGCCCTCGGAGACTTCTTATTGCAATCTGACTTGGTATGTTTTTCACCGTTCAAATTTCTTGTATTGAAAGGGGCTAACAAAGCGAAATGTGAAAAAATTTAACATCTCCCGGCTATATTCATATTTGCACTAGGCTGATTTCGGTTGGTATCAAAGCAGATTCTTTTCTTGAAAATTGCTCAATAGATCTAACGTGAAATGTATTCCGACACCGCCGGCGGCATTCTGGTGTCCGTTTCAGAAAATATATGCATTTATTCAAAAAAATGGAGGCGATACACAAGTACTCGTTTGGGTTTAAAAATAATAAATGTGTGGAAATAATGCGAAGGAGGCGTTTTTTGCGACGTTTGCATATTTATACGAATACTGGAGGACCATATCTATGGAAATTTTCATTTGATGTTTGTGGTGCTTTTATTTTGTATCGGTGCCATATGTTAATTCATTTATTCCGATTACATTTACTGAATTTTCAAGGAGGTTTTATCCCGATGTTTTCTACCGTTAGAGCTTGATACTAATAAATTTATAAGTTTTTAAATTACCTTTTTGTTATAAATAGTCTCAGCATTAAATACATTTATGACTGCTATTTGAACAACGACATAACGACACTGTAAACATTTAGTATAATAGCCAATCTCAATTATTCATAATAACAGTGAATGTAATTGCGTTTATAATGCATACATTTTGAATGCAGAATAGTAGAAATAGGAAATAGTGTCGGTGAAAAGAATATGTATGTGATATCAACTAGACTTTAGAATAAAAAATGTCGAAAGATTAATGTAATGTTAGAAATCATTAACCTATTTACATTTCTTCTTGTCCGGAAAAATCGGTTTGTGTGACCCAGAATAAAGGAACTAAATACCAAAATAACACTATACTTAGATACACCAAGTAATATTCTTATTTTGACTCAATTTGATTCTTCCAAATTAATTTGCTATCAAGATTCAAAATTTTTCTCAAACTCAATTTGCATTGATTCCCATTCTTAACTTAACTTATTTGGTCCATATCTGATAAGATAATCCGAGCCTAAAAACCGGGACAGAAAGATTGACTCAGTAACAAAACACGAGTTAGAAACAACCGTAAACCTCCGAAAATCGTTCGTTGGGTCGCCCAATGTTCTCGTTATCTCCGTTGTCACAAAATTATAACTTCCCTTTGCTCTGTTATCTCGCTCGGGGTCTGGTTGTACCGAATACCGTCCGCCCGGCCGCAAATTGCAACAGGTCAAAAAAGGAAATAGAGGGAGGTGCGCTTTGATTAGAAAGGGAAATGAACAGGCTGAGGCAATGTCCATTGATTACTCGCCTTTAACTCGGCGGTTTTGCAGCTACAGCGACACGAAGGTGTCGAGAATGGAGAAAAGGGGATGCGAAAATGGACGTTTGTAAATTCTAAGCGTATCCGGTTGATTGGCAAAAAGGTATTTGATGAATTGTAGAGCAGTGTTTTGCTTCCATAATTTAGAGGTCGTAAAAGAGAAACTGCCTATAAATTAACCGTAAATTTGATAATGTGTTAATTTGCTGTTTTGGAAAATTACAAACATTGCACAAATTGTTGCATTCGACTTATTATTTTCAAGTAGGTAAGTACCTAATATAAAAATAACAAACTGTTAGTAGTGACATCCGTGTTAGGAATATAGAATAGTTAAGACGGAGTACTGTAATAAAAATGGCTGTAAAATCTTTACGAGGTTGTAAACTCTCTTAGGAATAGGGGATAATATTACTCAAATAAGACATCTTTTTCGAGATAAAAATATGACGCGAATGCTGAACCTGTAGATATCAAATACACGAAGTCATTTGTAATGTAATACAAGAATTCACGGTGTACAAGTCACTCGGTAACTTCTTAACAGTAACTTCTTTATGAAAAATTGTCAACAGAATTTTTTAATAGCAATTACATATACAGGGTGACCCAGGGTCGCGTTAAAGTCCCATAACTTTTTACCTAATTGAGATATCGACTTGATTTTTGTTTCAAAAGGTAGGTACAATAATACTGCCTATTATTAAAATAGTTTCGTCTATATACAGGGCGGCTTAGTATTAGAAATTCACTAAAGTTACCTTTTTTTTAATGGAACCCCCTGTATATTATAACATTTTTGAATTCTTTAGTGAATTTTAGTGTGACTTTATGTACCATACATTGTACCTAAAACCAATCGTTTAGTTACAATTCGACATTTTCGAAAAAAGTGGAGGTTTGAAAAAAAATGAATATTGCCGCTCTTGTAAAACTTAGAAGGTCGTGACTCTGGGTTATTAGTAAACATGAAATGTACTACTGTGTGACAGGGATTCAGAATTGAATACTGTTTGTGTTCTTAGATATCGATACGCCAATTTACAAAATTTCAATTAAAGGTAACTTGATTTTTTTAAATGAAACTACCTACTTTTTAGTATACCATCTTGTAGGAAATTTTATTGCCTTTCTAACGATATAACATTGTCAATATTTTTACCTGCTAGTTTTCTATTAATTCCGGAATTTCTTATAATTCGCGGTAATTTTCAATTTTCAATAGTACTGTTCAAAGTGGCTCAATATTGTAAATTAAATTAAAATATGCCCTGCCCGTTCTCGCGATTTGACACCAATTGATTTTTTGGGACAATGTCTATAGTGTTAGGCCAACAACAGCTAACGACATGAAGATCCGGATAAGAGAAGCTTTTCGATCAATTGATTAAAACATGCTAACTCGCTTCAAAAATTCGTTTTTAAGAAGACGTAATCGAACATAATAGCAATATCTTTGAGCATCTACTGTAAGAAAAATTGTGCTATCAAAAAAACTGTTCTTTACATTATTCCTTGTTCATTATCATTATCTCCCTACAATCAAATAAATTGTAATTGATTGATTGATCTGTATACTTTTTTTATAACTCACAATCTTTTATAAAATTTGTGTTTTATTTTAATTTAATTTACAATATTGAGCCACTTTGAACAGTACTGAAAATTGAAAATTACCGCGAATTATAAGAAATTCCGGAATTAAGAGAAAACTAGCAGGTAAAAATATTGACAATGTTATATCGTTAGAAAGGCAATAAAATTTCCTACAAGATGGTATACTAAAAAGTAGGTAGTTTCATTTAAAAAAATCAAGTTACCTTTAATTGAAATTTTGTAAATTGGCGTATCGATATCTAAGAACACAAACAGTATTCAATTCTGAATCCCTGTCACACAGTAGTACATTTCATGTTTACTAATAACCCAGAGTCACGACCTTCTAAGTTTTACAAGAGCGGCAATATTCATTTTTTTTCAAACCTCCACTTTTTTCGAAAATGTCGAATTGTAACTAAACGATTGGTTTTAGGTACAATGTATGGTACATAAAGTCACACTAAAATTCACTAAAGAATTCAAAAATGTTATAATATACAGGGGGTTCCATTAAAAAAAAGGTAACTTTAGTGAATTTCTAATACTAAGCCGCCCTGTATATAGACGAAACTATTTTAATAATAGGCAGTATTATTGTACCTACCTTTTGAAACAAAAATCAAGTCGATATCTCAATTAGGTAAAAAGTTATGGGACTTTAACGCGACCCTGGGTCACCCTGTATGTACTATATGAATTACTTATATAATAATTTTGGAAATTACTGCATTTTGTATCGATGCAGCCAATATTTTTTTTATTTAATAAATCTGTTAACCAAAAACACATGACAGTAGGTATAATAGTGAAGTTTTGAAAGTAAAACTTGATTTGAAAATATACTAATTATTGTAACTAATTTATTGTTACATTTTGTGTTTTTATATCGTGTTGAATTTTGCAAAAAGCACAACCATCATCATCTAAATCTCTTGAGTTATTGCTATAATAATTTTCTTGATACACTTCTCAAGACCGACTGGTCGTTAAATCGTTACAAATTAAACTTATAAAATTAACGACAGGTCATTTTGAAGGGGTTTATTTCGTAATTAATCAAGTTACTGCCAGATGTACGAAGAAACTAGTAAGATGGAATTAGAAACAGCTATTAACGAGAAACCTGTAAGAATAATTAATTAGATAAGGTTTGGGCAAATTTGAATAATGAAAAATAGTAAACAAAATAATGAATAAAATAACATTTGTTAAAAGGCAAGAAACCAACTTCTTGAATATTTTATAAATCCATCTAGGTAAGTGCAAAAACGAGGCTTTTAATTTTCTGATAGCAGATACACCTTCAGCAGAAAACCCAAGGAGAAAGGCATTAAGTAATAGCTCTGCTGTCATTTTCTGCAAAATCATATTTTTCCTTTCTGCGTTTATATCTTTCTGAAATTTTACTCAGTCAACTGCGAACTTACAAAGAACAGAAACGTCTAGTAGAATGTGTAGAAGCAAATGTAATTAGAAAAACCAAAGTCTTTTGGCCGGTATTTTTTAAACAGAAATGGAAGTAATTTTCTGACGACCTAAAATTTATTTTCAATAATACAATAGATCGTTGAAATTTATATAGAGCATTGTTTTCAATACGCGAATCCTTTCGTTAATTATAAGTCTTTCAAAACTCACCAGTTGAAAATGTTTTTGGAAACAGATACACATTCAAATGAAAATAAATGGAAGGCTTTTCTCTCATAAATATCCCTCACAGCAGAGCTCCAACGTATGAACTGGCCCTTCAAATGCAGGACATACTCCCAGAACAAGCCTATATTAACTATACCGTATGTCCCGAATTGATTACGTATATTGGATGCATATTTATTTTTTTCTAATATTAATACTAAAACAATTAAAAAATACCTACAAAACATAGGAAGTATACAAAAAAACAAAAAAAAAAGATAAAGGTGCTTATAAAGGTTCATTATTTTGTATTTTTAACTGCAAGAGATATTTTAAGAACGAAAAAAACTTGCCATAAGGTTCTATAAAATTTTCCGCATTTAACTGATTTCCTATCTTTAGGAAATAACTGTCTTAACAATAGATCCATCACCGATTTGGGACACACGGTATTGTTAAAGGGTAACGTCACATTATGGCAAAGGTTGTTTCATAATTTACCTCCGGTGAGGCGAACGTGAATGATATATGGTCCTTTCCTCGACGCGTTTCTGACAAATACACGCTCTGTTTGATAAAATAAAATATAAATCCAAAATGTGGAAAATGGAAAAAATTATTTCGGAAGAAAGAATAAACGACGAACGAAACGTGAAGAAAGCGGGCCGTGAAATATTTGTAAATCGTCCGGAATATTTAACCAACCGGCAGATTTTAAGTTAATTTCCCAATGAAATGTTTAGTTCATATAACTGTTATTCCGAAGCGAGTAACGTTAACAGAAATATCTCATAAATTTCATTCGCCAAATTGATACTGAGTACACGTGAGAGCATCAGTCTTATTGATGTGGTTCAATTGACTTTGGCAGGACCATGCCTACTAATTCTTAAAAATCCAGAATCTATATGTAGGTAACATACTGAATCTATAGGTGATAGTTTCGTAGACCCATCGAGCACTTACCTAAAACCAGCATGCTTTTAGTCTCGATGTCTTCACTCTGCAAAGTAGACACCGAACAAGTATATTCTCCGGAGAGATCAGGGCCGGCTTTAAGAATGTGCAAAGCTCTGTGAATGCTATTTGCATCAACGCTAGCCGCATATTCTAAATTTAAGCGATCTTTGAGAATACCAAGACCCTGCGGGCGCTTTTTGGTACCTGTAAATAAATAATATTCGTTTTAAATAATGCAGCAATATTATTCGACTTATTTCTAATAAGTAATTTCCAAATCTTCTAAACAAGTTCTCATAGTGAAAACCCGATTTGAGTGGTTCAATTCTCTTTGATAACGATTTTAAAAGATTTTTTAATTAGGAAACTAAATTTTCTAATAAATTTTTTTGTTACGAAATTGTTGGATTACTTACTTGGGATCCATTGGTATACTAGGGCTTTGTTGAAGAACCACTTTACTACTAGGTCCTGTTCATTATCATCTAATGTAAAATCACAGTCCAGAATTACGGGATTACCGTGCCTTATCACTTCTGGCACTTCCAAACGATTTATTTTTACTCCACCAGCGGAATTTATCAAAGCTGAAACAAAAATATAAAACACACGTCAGATATGCTTAAATTATCATATTAAGTATTTAAACTGATATGTTTTAAAAAAATATTTTTCAGAGTACTTTCAGAATACTTCGGTGTTTCTATTTTTAATATTTTTTGAGCTGCAGGAGCGAATCAAGAGCGGATCCTCTACCAGCAAACCGAGTCTAAATATTAATTCTCGAGTTATAGTGCAGTTATCTTAGAGCATTGTCGGTATAGCCGCACGAATGGGGATTCCTAATTGATAGTAAAAATAATTAAATTGTCCCGAGGGTGGCATTTCCTAGGCATGCAAGCTCAAAAAAAGAAAGCAGAAAAGCGGAGAAAATTGTTTAATAGGTATTTGTGTTTCGCATTTTCCAGGAATTAAGTTTCTTTCATAATACACAGCTTAATGAATTAATGATGCAAGTAGTTAATTTTTTATTAAGACAATTTTAATCAAGGAAGAAGATAATTAGTTTTTATAGCGAATTAATAAAATATTTTTTTAATTACCAAATTCTTCCTCTTAGATACATTTAATTAAAGGTATGCCTTTTAGAGACAAATTTTGTATTAATCGTATTATATGCTAATATAATTATATTTAGATATAAGTAGATTAAAATTACATATGAGACCCTTAATAAATTAACTTTATCAAACTAATTTAAAATTTATTATTCTGTATTCTGAATTAACAGGTGGGATTAGATATTATAGGTAGGTTTTATATTATAATTTATAAGAAACACGACCATAAATTTATATTTAATTAAAATGCCGACGCGAAATTTGTATAAGAGGGTGGTATACAGTTTGTCCACGGATTGTGTAATATAGAGGTTGATTTTATAATATTTTAATTTCTCATTTTTTTATGAGTTAGATATGTTAAACATTTAAAAAAGTTTAATCTGTTTAGTCGTTTTTTTAGTAATAGATAATATAAAAATTTTTCTCTCTTTGAAACTTAATCTATAGACATCCTTTATGTTTAAAGTTTATGCTAATGTTGCGGTTTTACCCTCGTTTCATCTTAACTGAGAAAGAGACGAAAATGGTCGTAACGATGATCACGACTCTTCACTCAATTACTTCGTTACGGAAAACACGGAATCGCCATCACGGTCGCTCCTCAAGAGTACAGTTTACTCCTAACGACTAATTAATATAATTAAGTTGTGCTTTGATACTTCGCTGATGTGTTATAAAAGTAGAGGCCGTTTGGTCTTTTGCTCAATTAGCGCTTTAAACAACCCCAAATAGGTTTAGACGATGGTTTAATTTAATAAAGCGATAAATTTTGTGATTTAAACACAAATCAAAAAAAATGTTAGATTTAATCAGGAGATAATTCCACCATTTACATTTCAGGGTGTAAACTATTCATGACATAATTAACGACTCTATTCTGGAATGAATGCTAATCCTTAGGCGAGATTCCAGTCGCACTTTTTTATTCTTGGCTCCGGTTTCTTCTTTTTCACGAAGTTATCGCGATTTTTCTGGCAATAATTCAAATGTAGCTGCTACCGCTGCATTGCTAATCTTATTTTTGGAATCAAACCGTTTTGATATGGATAAACTAAACGCTTTTTGTAAAATTGTTGTGTAAAGTAAACTAATTATTTCTACAAACCATATTGTTTATCTAAAGGTTGAAGTTATACAACGAATATAGAATAAGGAAATTTCCGTATTTCCGCAAATAAACCTCAAATTGAAAGTAAAATACTGTTTCCCCGTACACTTGCGGAAGGAAAACCCTAATGTTTTAACGTACTGGAGAAATATATCTGTTTTTGTCTGTTCCCGGGACAAAAAGACCGTCAGGGGAGCATTTAAGCTAATTCTTTGTATCTCTCGACATTGTAGAATCGTTTATCTACTTTTTATATTCCATACTTTATACTTTTGAAACACTTAAATCTTGTGTGTATCTTTTTTCCTCGTTGCTCGTGTTTTATTCAAATTATGTTGGAAAAAGCATTAAAGTTTTATGAAGTTGTTAACCGGAACTGAAAAGCTTATTTCACTTATTTTTATTTTTACTTAACTCTAGACCAGTTTGTTAGAATTTTCTTCATAAAAAACCTCACCACTAATTACACTATAACTACACTGGATAATACTTTTTACATCTACTAAAAAACTACATATTGTTGGAATATTTTAATAAAGTATTTATTGATCTGATTCAATTGAAATTAGTCAGAATATGTAGGTACGGGAAAATGTGATGGATATGGAATTCCTGCAACGACATATAGCCTGCTGAATTAAAAATGATTGAAATCGTTCTATTTCTTTTTTTAGTAATCCTGTTCAGAACCGTATCAATGGATTTTTCAATGATTTTTTTTTAAATTTGCTATTTAATAAATCTTGTAATTCGCTCATGTTTGAAAGAGAAATTATACGAATTTAAACTTACTCTGAGATAATATACGAATGTGTATATCATTTTAGTTAATTCTGTTTAAATAAATTTATCGTACATAGGTGTTATAGCGAGAAATCTCCTGCATCCCGTATTTTTATCAAATGAACAATATTTTAATTAGTTTTTACTCGACGTTGAACCGGACTATTTTCTACAGAGATTTTACTGCGCCAGTTATTAAACTACTTGCTGAATAACTATTAACACTGAACGCTTATTTATATTTATAGGGTTACCGGTTTTACAACTTTATTAAAATGGCGCATGAAAATCTTTTAAAACGCTGGCGACTCAAAAATATGTACATTATTACATTTTACTGCACCTAATTAAAAGTTTCATATTTTTTGAGATATACGGATAAATGGGTAAGATATTTTATTGTCTGAAATTGAGCTTGCAATGCAAATGAGAGTGAGAAAAATCGGAACTCCTTGCGAGCTAAGAGTTGTCTTTACATAGTCAAAGGGAAATAGAATACCTAGTAAGTACATGTACTTTAAAACAGCGTAACTGACTACTCTTTCCGAGTAAAAACGTAGGCTGTATAATAACAGAGAAAATCCTGGGTGTTTTCCAGTTTTAAATTTGGACCGACTTCGTGAATTACCTCTCTTACTGAAAGACGAAAATATTTTATTCACGAAGCCTTTTCTTACTTTCAGCGCGGAAACAACACTCCTGAAAACACTGTAAAAGGCTAATTTGGAAATATAGCCACCATGTGGGACACTCGCCTTCTTACAATTCTGCAACTTTCATCAGACCCTTATGCATATTTTATGCCTTTTGTTGTGACATACCCACTCTTTAGGCGTACTCGAGAAAAAGTAGAGGGAATAAACATTTTCATATATGCGCGAAAGTTCCTTGGACGCAATTTCAAGATCCGGCAGGAAATTGTTTTAGGAATGATGCGGTAAACGTGAATGGATAATCATTAAAGACGACGGCTTTTTATTTTTTTACCCTCGAATGGATTTGATAACGAAATAACGAACGTTACGTAGGAATTTGTTTTCATTGCGGCGAATTTTTATTACAAATAGAAAATTGAAACAATTCCAAAACGTATAGATTTTATGTGTGTAATATCATTTTGTAACTCTGCCAAGCGCTAAGGCCTTTCAATATATTCAGAGAATGGATTAAGGGAATTTATAAATCGCTTCGGACCTCTTCCCGGATAGAAAATATTAGGGCCATTATTTCCAGGTTTATTGAACACTTAGTGAACGAACATGCGGTGAGTACGTGTTATATACTCGTAATTAAGAGAAAACTGAAGATAAAGTGAAAATAGCGTTAGGGTTTTATTAAATTTTTCAGCTCTTTATTACTCTCTTAAATATTAACTGAAAGTTCATAAAGGAATCGTTAAATATATTGAGATATCACAGGTATTAATAGCATCACCCAGATCAATACTCTTATGTAATAACAATTACAGGACATTCATGACGATGTAACCAAGTCGCTACAACACCTTAAGCCAATGAATTGTTTAACTCCGTGAAATGTTTACTAGGATAGGATTAAATTTTTAATAGATGTGCATTAAGCCACTGGAACTGGACCTCATGGCATTATACACGTGTTTGTAGGTATTGACGGTAGGTACACAAGGGGATGGAAAACTTTTGAGGAAAAATATTCATAGTTCAACCATGGTGGTACAGGCGGAAAGCAAGGCAAATAGCAAAAAGCTTAGCTTTACATTGAACGATAACTTAAATATTGTTTTTCCCTAGAGCAGACAGAAATAAAATGTACAAAGACTTTGAAATTCATTCTGTTTTATTCGATTCCACCTTAGTTGATGGTTCTTTGCAAAGCCTTATGAAATATCATATAAATGGAAAGAATATATAAAAGAGCCTGATATAAAACGTCAATTTGTAGCTTAGTTTCTTTATTTCTTTCCGGTGCATGACAGTAATAATAATAAATAAAATATATTTACGACCTACAGAAAATTCTGCTCTATTTCTTTCAGAATAAAAACTTGTTTTGCAACGTATTTCAAATTAACCTGTCTGATTTAACAGCAATTTTACGCAATGATAGTTTCGAACATTTACTAACGTAACCTATAGGTTTCCAAATCGTATTTCTATTAAATCAAAATATTAATTTCCGTCCTAAAGTGACAATATTATGTCTCATCGAAACGGAACCGGCCGGCAGGCCTAATCCTTGATAATTATACCTAAAATAACATTTCCTGCTCTTACAAGAGAAACCACAAATATTCTAACACAATTTACTGATTCTCAGTTTTCGTTGAAATATTTCCTCAAAACAAAGCTTTGTGTAAATTGGAGAAATTGCTGTTATTGTTTCCTGTATTTTCTGTCATTCAATTTCAAAGGAAAGCCGTAATATAATTAATCTCCTAAAAAGTTAATTAGGATTTGAAAATATCTATTAGAAATCAGTACCGTGGATTGATTTATTTTACAGGTATTGTCAGTGCCGACAATATTTTATTTGAATTTAGCACTAGAAAGAAATAGACGAAAAGAAAATATATGTTATGATCATTCGCCAACTATTTCCTTCGCACATAAATTGGAAAATGTCTATTGTTAATTCATACTTTTCAGTTTTCACGAAGTCGAATGACAATCTATACTACCGAAATGCGAAATAAGAGAAAAGAAATGTAATACCAGAAATTTTCACAGTAAATAATTCATTTGTTGTCGTTCTCTAGAGGAGAAAATTGTGAGGATTCCAAAGGCATTTGAGATAAAGAAAGAAGTAAGTGATGCGATCAATCATTGTGAACATAAAAATATTTGTCGGCTAAAAAATATTACCTCTAAAATAGTCTACTTTATTGTACACAGACTCGTTTGAGCTCGCAAGGGGTTACGTCCCTTGAACCGATCTGGACAAAATTCCATTCAGTCAATCACTTAAAGAACTTGAACAGTATCTATACTATAGCGTAGTTATTACACAAATATATACCTAGATATATCGTTTTAAAGTTTGTAGTCCGTGCTTTATTAAACTTTCTAAGGTATCTTGCACGATTTCTCTGTAAACTCGATTCAAATTTACTGGTAAATTAGTTGTTAACTTACATAACTCTGCGCGAACTCATACATATAGTTCTGTTTCAATTACACCCGATTTTAACACCTAGCATTGATCACATTCGGAAGGGTGAAAAGGTAAAACTTCAACTCGCATGAAACGGGAGTCGAGCGTTCTGCGTGTTGAAAGAGCATTTCAAACTAATATTCCTCCCTCGCCGTCCGCGAACCGGGGTAGTTTTTCCACACGTATTCTATTTCCACGCGAAATCCTAAGATAACGTTAATAACGGACTTATCGACGCAATAAAAAGCTAAACCGCCGCTCTAAAAACCACAAACGAATGGATTTCCTTCGACACGACGTGTTTTTTTATTAACTCCAGTCCAGAACTGACGTGTCCATTAAACAATTATCTACTATTAAACACGTACACAAATTCGTGTGGATAACGTAGCGAAAAATTAAAAATTAAAGGTGCGTCGCGCTCGCCCTTGCGATTGATATGCATAATAAATTACGCGTGACAATAAAGCGCATAACCAAATAAAATTTTCAAAAGCAAAGAATGCTTTCAGCGGCGAAAATTCAACGACCGACATTGTATGTGCCGGCGACTTACCCTCGTCACTTTCGGTCGATAACGTAGGTGTTTATTAAGCCCTCGCTATCGCAGCCGGAAGTGTGGAATTACAAAAACATGAAGTCGCTGATAGTGGCAAATGGTGTAGTGCCATTATGCTTGAGCCCCGGTTGACGATATAATGCGGTGAACTGTCATACTGCATTATTATTTCGCCGGTATTCGCGGTACTGATGCATACGAGCATATTCTGCATTCGGCATTATTAATTTTGTGGTATTATTCAAGGTGTCATCCGGTTTTGAGGAATAGAGCTGCGAAAGCGTTCGCCTCTATTACTATCAAGCCGTTCGGTGTGATAATATCTTTGATGAACGTTCGTTTAGGAAGGATAATGAACTTTTATTTCAATTAAATTTGAGTCCAATTAAATTTGATTACCAATTACAGGTCAACGAGAGTAGATCAGACCATCACCAACTAGTCAGAAATATTCGCAGCAATTAGAAATCGTTATCATTTTTATTAGATGATCAATAAAAATAATCACATTTCTTGTACATTGTTTAAATGTAGGTTATTATAAACATTGAACATCGTCTACAATTTATTTTTGCTACACTGTACGTACTTGCTAATATTTTAACATCAAGCATTACAAAAAAACACACCATAGTAATGTAATGGAAAATATGAAAAATTACGCTCGTTGACCTGCATAGCGAATTAAGGGCATAAATCAAAGGTCGAGTTATCTAACCTTTTGCCGGGTCCTTACTTAGCCCGGTCAAGGTCTCAATGTATATTATAAGCGGTGTTATGTTGGTGAATCTCCCAAACGAATTAAGCTGGAACTATTTTCCAACAGAAGATTATATCCGTAACACAGATAATCAGGTATTGTTTGGATAATGTGGAGCCGGAGATAATGTCGTTATACATAAAAGGGAAAGGGGTTCATATATACCTCATTCTATTTAATTCCCTTATTAGAAGCGAAAACACCACCGTGTTTTGGAAATGTGATATTTTCTCTTCAGCTTGAAATTAATTAGTACTCAGCATTATACGGCTAGTTTATTTTTTACATAGCAAAAACTCAATTTTTCGAGATACGCAACTAATTCTGTTCCGCCTTCATCTAATTGTACATATTTGCTCCCGAAAAGTTGTAATATAGCTAGTTTATGTACCCCAAATATAAATGGAAAAAATTCTCAAGGAAATGAAATCCTTACCGAGTTGATTAAAATCCCTAAGATAAAAAAGCCTGGCTAAAGGCAGTGTGGAAACAAGAGTTTTATCTCCGAAATCTGAACTTCTAACGAGAAAGTATAAACAAAAAAAAACTCCAGGCGACAGATTTATTAAAAATTTATGAAACTTTTAGCTTGGTAGGTAATGATTTGTTTAATCTAGAAATATTATAACTATTTATATCGTTACTTATAACATTTGTTACTACAACCATGTTTGAACAGAACCATCAGTAGGTAATAAATTGGTAATGATGTTAGAGTCCCGCGAATATTTAGACTAAATATTACTTAACACATAAATGAATCACCTTGTACTAAATAAATCTGTATGTGTTTGCATAATAACTACGCCAATGATTTCGAAGGTGGTTTCTTATTTATTTATCTCGGACGATAAAGCTTGTCCCAAGTAAGCATTCATACGATCCTCAGAAATTCACCAAGGCGACTCCGACCTTTTGCAAGCTCCGAGCGCCACTAAAGGGTCGTTCTGAATCGTTTCATGGCCTGCTAGAATAAATAATGTCCCAGATGTGACGCCCCATAAAACAAAACTTCTTTTTCTGCTGCTGCCCATGTCAACCATACCTTAATTAATTTCGTTTCTAGTCTTTCACGTTTCCTGGTCCCGGGCTGCGCTTGAGGACTCATTTTACACGGGTCTTGAAATAATTGTTTTAAATTAATTCGCGCTTCAAATGCATGAAAGTCGTTTGAATTAAATTACCGAAAAGACCGGGTCGAGATCCCGTTTTCAAAAATTATAAACTTGGCGAGTTTCCCTGCTGCAAAATGTATGGAATTGTAAAATTCGTAGTGTTTAAAAACGTTTCATCAGGGACACAATTGAATGTTCTTGTCTTACTTAATTATGCAAAATCTTCGATTATCGACAGATTTTACTTTGAAAGGATGCATAAAATTTTAAAACGTTTGGGTTTCCAATTGATATATCATTTAGAGTAGAATTTAGTGCAGGTAAAGTAATGAATTACAAATAACTAACACCACGATCATAGTTTCAACCTGTAAAAGCCCAATGTGGAAAGACCATACACATAACTAACTATACCATTGGGATGATATGGAATTATTTAATCTTTAATAGTAATTTAGTTTGTGAAAAAATTCTGAATTGATACTCTGAAACTATTAAATCGAGCTTGCGAAGAAAGTGAAAACACTGCAGATGGTTAAGGGGCGAAAACGAGTACGACTTGTTCCCCCAAACCATAATCGAATATTTTAAATGCTGTTGGGTAACCGCAGGATAATCATATTTTCAGCACTTGATCTAAACAGATCATTAAAATGTAAATTAAAAATTCTTAAGGACATCTAGTTAGAATATAAATGAGCAAAGTTCGTTGGGGTGAATTGTACTTATTGCTTAGATACCTACCTACCCTTATGGTATAAATTAATTTCTTGATTTTCAAATATACAACACACGTTTTTTTTTAGGATAGATGGCTTTTCGTATTTAATAACAAAGCGTATTTGTGACATAGAAACTGAACATTACAGTACATCAAGATGACGTGTTCTAATATGACGTGCTCTGTTCATAAATATCAAATCAGAATTCAAATATTTCGTGTGCCAAGAAAGTCCGATATGTCAGACTTCTTTTCCGGTTTCGTCAAGAAAATGGGAAGTTGCGTGATTAATGAACCAAATTCTGCCTTCTGACTCCAGATTTCATCGTATAAAACTTAGAAAAAACGAACAGAAAAGTTTTCTCTACGTCAAATTATTTTTATCCCTCATCAAGATACAGAATACAATTACTAACTTGTTACAAGTAAGACACAAACTGCTTATTAACGCACTCCCCTACCCCAAGCTGTATCCTTATTTATTGTATTACCAAACATAAATCCGGGTATTTTTCTCTTAAAAAACATCTTCGAAAACGGAAACAACTATACTCATCAGTCATTCGGGGAATTCGAAGGCGAGCCCATCAATTTGTCGGGACATAATTCAGGTTATATATGGTTACAAACATGTTATCCAGAAACCGCGAGGACCTATTACCATATGTAAATATTCAAATTATTTGTTCTCTAATAAGTCCGGGTCCTCTCGATCCGAATGCGAAATCCCCGAATACACAATAATGTTTCGTATGTCCCGGCTAACGACAGTTTAAATTGTTTTAAATAGAGTTTCTATGAATTTGTTAAGGAAGTTTACCGGAGTACTTTCACATCTAGTATGATATACAGGGTAGCCCAGACCTCACATCCCACCTTAATCGATCATTGAGGAGCTCCGTCGTGCTGATACCAATAGTAAAGAATTTTGTTTTTCTTCAAAAGTAGTTCGAATCGTATTGAGACATTAAAATAATAGATAATAATTAAGATAAGTATTATTAAATACCTAAATTTATCTAAAAGATTTAAAATATGAACAATATGCTAGAGTACCTAATAGAGTACCTACTTCTAAATAATGGATAGAATATCGAGAATTTTACCAAGGAACTTAAATTTAATTGAAACTAACTATTCCCACCATATCATAAGGTGTAGATATTTTCCTGGTCAATTTTTATATAAAAACGCAACCCATCAAATCCATATCTGCAGGATTGATGACCGTAGATTCATATTCTCTAGAAGCATACTGACGTGGAGACATAATATTGACAAATGGACGGCCCTTTCCATATACCGAGCAAACACTGGAAACGGCGGAAAATTATCGAAAAAATATACGGGAACGCGGTGCTGAACACGCTCCTAAAGAGAATTATTCACCATAACGCTACCATTAACTTAGAATATTATTTTTGGCATTTCTATAACGACTTCTGTTTTAAGTTTTTTTTTCACTATGTCCTTAGGTAATATCTATTAATAGTTATAGAGAATCATTAGTTATATCGTAACAAAAGCTATTCGAGTATAAAACATTCGATTTACATCGATTTGTAACTTTATGAAATAACCATTATTTTAATGAAATAGCTAATAGTACAGTTTACATAAAAAGTGTTCCTAATACTGATGACAAACTCATTTTAAATGGATTTTTGTTCCCTTTCGAGCTATTATCTGAATATGGCGGGATGTTTGTTATTGCCTGATAATATCGAAAGTTATAATTCCAATGCTTGGCTACACAATATAATATCAAGAGTAAACAGAAAAATTGATCTAACACGAATGTTCATTGATTTACGAATATTAAATTCAAAAAGAAAATGTTTGTTAGAAACCCTTAATCAAAGCTATGTTTATTTAAATTGAAATACAGCGCAAAATATGTAATCACATCACACAAACCTTATCCATTCTACGGCCTTTCCGGAGTATCCCTTTTGGCCGCCCTATTAGTTAATTAGTGTACACCTTTACGTAGGATTGAGGAAATTTGCTTATAACTGACGTGCCATGCAAGGCATGCCCTGAATGCGAACTAATTTTAAATAATATTCTCCTCTCCCTATCGATCCGAAGAGCACCTATACGATTATGTTTGAAGGCTTTTACCGTATATATCTGCATAAAAATTTTATTAATCTTCCATGCTCTAGCATTAAAAAAAAGTTTCTGTCACGTTTTATTAAATTTTCGCCAACAATTCGGTAATTATGCGAAAAAAGAATTATCCCGTTAAACGACTTTGTGCTCTTTTGAACACTCTACGAGCGGGAAATTCTCATTTGGCGCGTGTTGTACAGTACACTTTTTCTACGCAATTCTCCCAACCCGTATAACAGCCGAAGAGGAACGTTAAGCCCACCGTTGTGCTAGAAATAGATAAAGAAAAATCCGGATGTACATCAAAGAGTTGATTAAGTTCCGAGTAAAATAAGACGTAAAAATTCCGGCTTCACGCGAGCGAATTTCTCTTCGATCTGAACGGTGGAAATTCATTCCTTTTGTCTGATTAATAGATTTCTCTTATGTATAAATAAGCTGTTTCGTCAAACAATGGGATTTCTAACTGAAGGTATAAAAAGGTCGGAGTGTTCGTGAAAATTAACTCCTTTATTCATTAGGTGCTTTCGCCTGTTCGAATGAAATCGATTGGTTTTTGTTATGACAAAAGAAACTTTCCCAATAGCGTTTGTTATACAGGGCTAACAACGTTTAAAGAGACATAGACGTTAAAAATACCGCTAAAATACAAGCGTCAATTGTAGGTTTTAATGGTCAATTTCCTTAAATTCCGTTTTTAATAATTCTAAAACGTCCAGTCGAAGAGCCGGAAAACCTGCTCTATCAATAGTCAAATTTATTTTGTTTCACAGAGTGAAAATCTCGAAACGAGTTCATTTGCATGCGTTTGCAATTCACGTTACCTCTCCGTATCACATGACCCATCTCATATCGATGAGAATCGCCCCCCCGCAATTTCCATACATTCCATTCGAAGTGCTCTTTCCAAGCGGACCCTTTGAACTGTCCTGGCGACTAATTAGAATACATTTTGTCCGGGCGAAGAAAATTTGGTTGGGCTGAAGGGGTTTCGGACGTAAATCCGCGCTTCGAACTCATGATTATTCAAACAAATTTCAAACGGATTGCTTTTAGTTATTTCACCTATTGAAAAAGAACGGAATTGCGTTATGTAGGCGATAAATATTTAATTCAATGGAAACCCGCTGGTGTACATAATTGGAGGACGGTATTGTACGAATTTTAGATACTGTTTCTATTCCATCTCGCGCATAAACTAATTTTGGTGAGAGTATGGAGGATATCGCATAGAGGAAATTTCTTTGGGACAGTGGCTGAAGTAGCTTTGATGTAAGTCAAGCGGCAATGGGTAACGAAGAAGAAACATGAACATCAAATATTTCTAATATTGATAGGGCCCTTAGCTTACATCAACAAAGAGGCTACTTTGAATTCAACGAGAAGATGCATGGATGAGGATCAATAATTTTATATATTGACATACAATATAATATATGTATTAAATAAATTTATTAAAAAATATTGTTACAAATAATAATTTGTATAAAATAACCTATGAACGTTTTTTTTATTTTCAACATGCTTGAATCCTCTTGAATAGTAGATTAGATATGATAATATCAATGATGTAAGTGTATTTATAGATCAGAGAGTAATTGAAATTATATTGTTAAATATGATACATTTAAAAGCATTATTGGGTGTTCTTTCGCTCCTTTTGGCTACAATTGCAGCTCAAAATGATGGACCAGTTATTAATTTAGAAAAAGGTAAAATTCGAGGGCTTATTCGAGAGAGCGAAAACGGAAATAAGTATTACGCTTTTCAAGAGATTCCCTTCGCCGCTCCTCCTGTCGGTCCGAATCGATTTCAGGTTTGCTTCTCATATTTTTTATTAACGATCAATGATAAATAATTCACATCATCTTACCAGGTGCCGAAAGAACCTCCACAATGGGACGGAATATTAAACACAACAAGGAACACCAAAAGGTGTTATCAGAGTCAACTTTTACAAGGAGATGTTGAAACGATTGAGAGTGAAGATTGTCTGTACTTAAATGTTTATTCACCCGACGTAAGTGCATCTCTATAAATGTGTATTAGGTACTCTTAAAATATTTTTTAAAAAGGACAGATTCACGCTAAAAAATTGCTTCCCGTTTTGTTATGGATCCATGGTGGAGCATTCGTTACTGGATCAGCAGTTTTTGGAGAAACTGGTCCGAAGTATATAATGGATCAAGACATTGTAGTTGTTACTACTAACTACCGTTTAGGAGCTTTTGGTGAGTAAGGAATCGAATCTTCGTATTACTAAAAAAATCACAAAAAAAATTCTAGGTTTCGTAGGAACTGACGACGAAGTTATACCACTTAATCTCGGCCTAAAAGACCAGAGATTAGCAATGGAATGGGTAAATAAAAATATACATTTATTTGGGGGCAATCCAAAGCACGTGGTACTAGCTGGAGAAAGCGCTGGTTCAATTTCAGTCGGATTTCATCTTATTAGCCAAAGACCCAATGAGGGTTAGTCGTTTACATAACACTTCATAATGCTATCATAGTGATAATAATTATTATATTTTTTAGAACAACTATTTCAGGCAGCAATAATGCAAAGTGGAACACCTATTGCCAGTGGTTTAAAACAAAGCGATTCCACTCAAAACGCGTTTGATCTCGGCCGAAGACTTGACAAAAACTTTTCATCTAAGGACTCAAAGGAGCTGTTGAATGTACTACAAAAAGCCGATGCAAAAGATATAGTTTCAGTTAGTATATGTTCAGAGTCAATCATCAGAATATTTCATTAGTCCATATTTACAAAAATGAAGCATTTACTTTAAAGTAAAAGGTAGAAGCAAAAGATAAGAGGAAAAGATTTTAAAACTTTAAACAAAGGTTTTAAAACCGTAAAATGTTTTGTATGTTTTGCTTCTTTTTATAAATACGGCTTAATAATATCCCATTAATATCAGAATATTTCATTGATAAACAAACATAAATTTTTCACATATTTTTTTATTAATTTACAAGGCATTCGTTATTGGAGGCGTCTCATTAGAAAAAGAAGGCTTATTTTCGCATCTTGGCTATCAAGCATTCATAGATCAAAAGTATCAAAGAGTTCCTGTACTGATCGGGTTCAATTCAGAAGAATGGCTTTTCGTTGGTAATTTTTTAATATTTATATCTAACGTGCATTAATCAAAAGTTTTATTAACTAGGGAAAAATGAAACTCAATTAAAGGAAATAGACAAAGATCCAAGCTTACTAATACCAGCAAGAGTGAATGTTGCACCAGGGATGAGACCTACTGTTGGAAAACTCCTGAAAGAGATTTACACCCAAAACACTTCTTTCGAAGAGGATTTTGGTGGATTCGTACGGGTACATGTAATCACTATTTGTACATTTAAATTCGTATAACAGATATCTTTTCAGTTCACTAGTGACAGCATGTTCATAAACGGGGTATGCAAACTAGTCGAATTAAGTTGTGAGAATGCCCCGTACTATCTCTATCAGTTCGCATATAAGGGAGTGTTAGGTGAATCGATGAATATTCCACCTTACAATGGTAGTTTTAAATCGGTTTATTTTAATATCATAATTTTTAATTTTCAATTCGTACTAATGTAGATACCGGAAATGTTGTGCATGCAGAGGATTTGCGTTACATGTGGGATGATGGTAAAAACTCTGATTTAAGAAAATTTCCAGCCGAAGACGTTTTAATGTTACACCGTTTCGTTAAAATGTGGACGAATTTCGTGAAATACTTGTAAGTACATGCAAAAACTTTTCAAACTCGATCGGGATTTACGTTTTTGTAGCAACCCCACGCCTCAAGCGGATCCTCTTCTACAAAATATCTCCTGGAAGCCGAGCGAACCTAATACTATCAGATATCTGAACATCAACTCTACATTGGAAATGAGAAACAATCCTAGACAGTATGCCCAAGTTAAGGAAGTTTTGGATAAATATCTAGTTGCTCCTTTTGATTCAATGACGTAAATAGTATTTAAAGTTGCCGCCATGTAAATTGAATTTTGTGAAATAAAAATTTCTGAGTACCTACGTATTTATTTATTCTCGAAATAATTTCCAGTTTAAACTAATATTTTCGAACAATACACAATCATTTATTGATGCAATTAATTAAAAATGCACATACCTACATGGTTGTATAAGATTAGTGCAGTGTATTCGTCATACCTAATACATGAAATGGTTATGTAAAATGAGAAACAATCTTATGACAATACGCCCAAGTTAAGGAAGTCTTGGATAAGTATCTAGTTGCACCTTTTGATTCAATGAAGTAACCAGTATTCAAATTTGCAATGCAGATTGAATTTTGTGAAATAAAAATATTTTGAGTACCTACATGTATTTGCTCTTAAAATAATTTACAGATAATATTTTTACAGATTTAAAATATTTTAAAAACTAATTAATCTTGGAGCAAAAAACAGCTCATTTTTTATTTCAATTAATAAAAAGCACATAGCTACATAGTTTTACGTATAAGATTAGATATCCGAATCCAGTATACTAATTGCATGATTTTTAGATATTTTATCTATTAATTATCTAAGCAAATAAGTGTTTGTGAACTCGATATTTTATTGGTTTAATTTTGATAAATTTTTGGGACATCCTTTATTATTCTGTGCATTCTGCGTTGTTCCAACTAGAAAAGGGTAAAATTCGAAGGATTATTCGGAAAAGCGAGAACGGAAACAACTATTATGCTTTTCAGGAAATCCCTTATACTGCTTCTCATCTGGCTACAAATCGATTTCAGGTTTGCTCCAAACGAAAATTCATTATTTTATTTTCTTCTGAACGCCTATTATGTCTTCCTAATTTCAACTCTCATATATTTCTGATTAAGTTACAATTTCATACGCTCGTTTTATAAGACACATAAAGTATCAATTTCTCGAAGTTGCCCACATTATTTCCTTTTATTTCATATACGTTGTTGTTGAAGCTGACAAGCAACTGTCGCCGTGTTTGGAAATTTCTTTGCAATAAAACGTTCTTTTCACGGTTAGATGAATCAAATTTGACTATCGGATGCACCAGTTAGCTGTCGTTTGCACTCTCGTATTCAATAAGAAATATCTAGTCTGTTGCCGACATGAATCGACGTAGTAGGTATTATACGAATTTTCTAAAACTGTTCTGTTTTTTGAAAAATGTGCATTGAAATCTCGTTTTTCGGTGAAAATCCAAAAACAAATAGCTTTGGGTTGTTAATGTGGAAAGCACTAAATCGGCCACAGTTATTTTTGAAAGCTTTTGGCATTATTGATGATTATGTTGAATACAAAATTTGATTCGTACACAAGTTGTAAATATTTTACAATAAAAATTGGCAAACATTTTTTTTTCGAATTTTAAACATCAGCCTCTATGCAGTATCATTTCGGTGCATTTTCCATAATCAAAACCAGTATTACAATTTCTGAGCATACGAACCGGTATAATAATGCGCGTAATCCGAGCTTAGTTGTTCATTTCGAATTTCATCTCCTTTGCTTAAACGTAATCTGTCTGTATTTTCGCGAAATGGAACATTTTGTTCGTTGTAAGTTACTGTAGAATAAAGCTGTAAAGGTCGTCTATATATTGACTGATTCAAAAAAGAAATTTGGAGACTTTACTTTATTGGATTACAGAATAGTCATATTAACACCCATAATATTTCTTAATAATAATTCTTCAGTAAATTCAAACAGTAGGTAAATTTTTTGTTAATTTTTAGGCGTTTAAAAAATTGTAATAAAAGTACCTAAGTAATGAAAAAAAAAAGAAAATTGAAAAACAAAATGAAATGGTATGAAAGCTCTTCCGTTGCTCCAATGAAATATTGATACAAATGCCTAACATGCATCATCATCAACGCTAGAAATTAATCCCAATCATACGGTGAATTCATCAGGTGAGGCAAAAAAGAGACTGTTTTCAACTGATTAAAAACAGAAAAAACATTTCCCTGGAAAACACCTCGCTGTACCTATTCAGTTTTCAGCTTGATAAATAAGCATTTAACACGTAATGAATGAATTAACCTCGCGTGGAGAACCGTATTAATTCATTTTTTTTTACTTGTGTATTGCAATTTCAATTGTTGATTACAGTAGCTTAATGTAAACATGCCTAAATGTCGCTTAACTTAATAAATTTCGTTTTCTCCGGTAGGTAGGTTTCATTACTCTTAATTGAAAACTATCTTTGTGTGAACATATGTATGCAAATTACTTTTAACTAAAAATAACTCCTTTAAGCACACTGTGTGATTAATTTTAAAAAATCATCAAGTATTCAAAATAAGGAATAAGTTGTCTTAAAGAAAGGAATTTTTAATGAACGTTGTTTTACATAAAATTACTTTTAGATGAATATCCCAAATGCTACTTAAAAGTTTCCAGCCGTATTCTATTCATTCGGCTTCATTTTAGAAACTAAAACAACTAAGTGAACATAGAAAAAAAATTAAGATTAAAAGAGCATTCAAAAACTTCTATGCATAAAAAAATAAGAGAGTCCAGATAAATCCAGAGAGTCCAGATCGTGTAGCAAATAGATTCCAGAGAATTATAACTATTTCAATTAGGTATGAGTACATTAGGTATGAGTACGAACGTTTTGAAATCTAAACGTTATCTAGATATTATCAAATTTCTTACCATAGACCATCATTCAAAGTCCCCAGGAATTCCTTTCCATTTTCAAGTTTAATTATTAACATCGATAAAACGATAAACGAGCTACATTTGATAAAAAATATTTCTACCTTTGTAATTTTATGGAAGCAATTTTCTTCAGACGCTCGAATGCCCTTTTGACATTCGGTGATTTGAACTGATTTGTCTGAATCTCCGTCGGAAATCAATATCCATTAGCGAAAATCACCGCCATAGAAATCATGTACCTACCTACATTTCGCTGCGTATTTTTTCGGTTACAAGTCTATCTCAAAGGCCAATTTGTATGATTACCTAATAAATTAATTAGAAACCAACAACTCGAATGTGATCAATTTCGCTGCATAAATCAAATACATAATATTATGTAATTAACGAAAGAGAAATACAACGTCCATCTTAAGTATAGACGAAACCTGTGACTGATTATGTAAGTATTTGATATGCACTATAGATTCGTTTACAGAAAGCTTTACATGGAGTATTTGTCTAAGCGCTGAAATACATTCCTATAAATTTGAATAACACATTAGTCTTCCTGCGGGATAACCAAATAGTTACATTTCGGATTCGCACGGAGGCGACTGGAAACCGAAGCCAAAAATTACTCAACAATAATGCGATTTAAGAATTCGAATTACGACCGCTAAATAATCGAACGTCTTTACGGACGGTCGTGACGTTTCCCATTCGAAAATGTCAATGTAATGTTAATTATCGCTGAGATCATGTTGAAGGGAAAAATTTTTAGTTTGGCCGTTCAAGCGTTAGACGTGACCAAGATGGTTTTGGTGATAACGGCCAACACGGCTGTGAAGCTGGCTTCTGAAGGAAGAAAAGAAATAATCAAGCAGTACGGAGAGTATCAAAAATTTAAAGTGCACCCCAATACCACGAAAGCCCTTGCGGATAAGCCGAAACTGGCCGAGGCGGCGTCGCAAGATGGGATTAAGAAGAAATTCAATTAGATTGTAATTTACAGTTTTTTTTATTACGTTCGTATTGAACTAGACAAATCGTTTATGAAAGTGCCAGGTTGATTTTTACAGTTGTGAATGAACAAAAAAGTTAATAAACGAATGAATTTCTTCTAGAAATTTTTGTACAAAATTTCTCCCTATCAACTAAACTCACATCATCCGAAGTAAAAAAATTACATGCCGCATTGCATTAGAAAGAGACTGGCTAAGGTATTGTGTTGCCCTCAATTATACCGTGTTGGAAAATTTTTCGCGCATAATAGGGAAATCAATGTTAAATTCTTAGCCGGCTGAAATCCAATCTACCAGTGTACATTTCAATAGAACGTCGCGATCAATTCTAATAAATTTAATTGTTCTACTGGACCGCACGCCGCGATTTGTAGAGGTACAAAGTTATTTGTGTTAGGTATGAGGTACAAAATTATTTAGAAACTACAATTAATAGGTTTTTTGGGGATATTTCAAAAAAATGTGTGTATCGGTAGGTACAGTTTTGAAATAGCAACAAATCTTGTTAAAATAAGGAAAAATAAGGAAAAAATAATTCAATTTTCTTAAAATTACACCTCAGCTCAGTAATATGAGATGACATCTGTATGACAGGTTTGGCTATTGTTTAGCAGAAAGCGGTGGACTATTTTTTAGAGTTCTTTTATTTTCTATTTTAAAATAATCTTTTAAGTTTATTTTTGGAGTATTCTTTTTATTATTTTCTTAGAATTTACTTTCTTTTTCAAGCCATTGATTTTATTATTAGTGATATTTTTTCAATAAATTATCGTTTAAAAATTCTCAATTCTTTGTAATCGACTCGACGTTCACCCATCCGAACCCGTTTTGATACTGTCGAAGTGTTGAAACCGTCGAAATTATTTGATTTTTAATCTAACCAAGCCAAAGCGCGGTGTGAAGTCCAGTAGAACAATTAAATTTATTAGAATTGATCGCGACGTTCTATTGAAATGTACACTGGTAGATTGGATTTCAGCCGGCTAAGAATTTAACATTGATTTCCCTATTATGCGCGAAACATTTTCCAACACGGTATGTACGGTATATGATATACTATTCTTCCCTTTGATGTTGCTGAAGGATCTAATTAAGCCCGATACTGGGACATTTTTAAAAATTAAAGAGCTAACTATGCACAACGAGTATACATGCAGCGGGTCTGAGGGTGCGTTTTTCGCATTTGTCAAAGTTAAGGGTGAAGCGGCTATTAGTGCGAACAAAGCTACAGAAAGCATCCTTTGCGGATGAAAGAGATGCCGAAAGGGATGAAGGACATCGAGTTTATATGAAAGTGAATTGGGGTAATAGCGATTCGAGGAGATCGGCTCCTGAAATAAGGGGAAAAGAGGTTGTTTTTCAGATGTAACGGTACGAAAAAAGTCAGTGAAATATTTAATTTGTTTGTATGTCAGAAACATAGAAAGCGCGTCCGAATATTTTTTATTACACTTCCCTTTCATACGAAAGTTATTAAATTTATAATACTAAAAACAAGAATATTATCTTACATGCACAGTCAATTGCTTTTTGGAGTTTTATTGAATAGTCTAAATCCGATGAATTTTTATTCTTAATTTTCTTTGCCTAGTAGGTTTTTTGAAAGAACACTTCTCTTATTCGAAATTGATTTATTATTTAACTTTTTCCTTTGGTCTTTGATCTTTGATCATATTTAGAATCTGCTTTATATTATATGTTGTTATAACATTGCAGGTTAATGGAACTCAAATGGTTAATTTTGTATTCTTTATATCGATGACCAACAAAATTTAACAAATTTAATTAAAATGACATTTCAATTACACAAAATTTATCTACATATGTTGCACCAATTAAATCCGTATAATAAAACTATTATAATAATATAGATTTTTAGTGAGTCTATTATACTTAACCCAAATCCCGTGATTTCACGTGATCCCGTGATTTCAACTTTTATACATAATAATACACCTTAAAAATCCTTCCGCGCAAAATGAAACAAAGGCCAATTTTATTTCGATAATCAAACAATTAAAATTCGCGCAGTTATGATCCTCTTTTAAACGATGCAATTTCGCAGCAATAGATGCTCATCATATGAGCTATAAAATTATAATTGGATAAACCGGGATAGCGTTGGCCGTGGTAAAGGAGTATCCACGAAGGTTCGCAATAAAATTTTAAAAACGCTTGGTAATATTTTTTTATTGATAACCGTAAAATTAGCGGAATATAAAATGCGTTATTACAGAATAGTTTTTTTTCGGTACGAAAGTATATTGTAAGAATTCAAATTTTGTTTTATTCTCTGCGTCCTGTATAAAGTGAGACGCACCTGCTGTGAGGGCGGGAAAAGGCCGACGGAAAAATGGGCATAACTTTAGCTAGGGGACTTATGAGGCACAAAATCCCCGGATGCGGTGATATCGGACTACAGATTAGGCAAATACTGGTCAAACTTGTAATTCCGGTGCGTTGTAAAACAGATCAATAGTGATTTTGCATATCTGTTTAAGCCATCTTCCAATACGTAGATTTTATACGAAAAATAGCATTTAATTTTTTATGTATGTATGTATGTAGGTATGTTCGAGTACCATGATTAAGTTAAGTAATAATAATGTAATTCGGGAAACTTTTGATTATGTACCTAAATTGTTGATTGATAAAAGAATAAATATTTAAAGAAACTATGTATTTATTTATTCTTGAAAAGAAAGCTAAGTTTATAAATATTTAGTAGTTATATAAAAACCGATAAAATTGATATAACTGTTCCAACAGAAATGTTGCCGCAAAAAATTCCCGAGAAGTTTCGAACTTTCTCCCAAGGTCTAAGAGTCGATTATTATTTTTATTGTGACTAACTTTAGCAAATTCGATTTGGAAGTTTTTCTCCGGGGTATGTATCGCAAAATTACAACGGAATCAAGATATTGAATCGTGCTTTTTCCTCCCTTCACAGCCTGAAATATGTATTATCTAAAGATTACATATCAATATACATATATAGGGTGTATTACATAAGAACTGACAGAATATAAGAGAGTACGATTGTAATATATTATTCAAGATATCTTGTAATTTGTATTTATTTATTTTCTGGAATTAGGTATCTTCATCTATTATATTAATGGAAATTCCCCCGTCAAATTATTCTGTCAAGATTCAATTTAGGTGGTGGTATGACTTCTGAAATTGGTGTAAGTACCTCTGGAAACGTTAAAACCACATATCACAGCTTAACAAGCATAAATTTCTGTTATCCAGATAAAGACACGTCCTTTCCATAATACATAAAAGCTCTAAATCCATTTCTAATAAATTTATTACTAAGCGAATTTCCCAATTCGCTTCTCTAAAATGCTTTATTCTCTTTACTCAAATCATGATATATGCCTGTATCGATTCACTTCAAGGAAATAATACCTAAACCATATCCTATTATTTCGAAGACAATTTCCACATCCATCGTCTTACAATTCCCGTCGACAAATTTAAAACAGGCAATATCCTGAAAATCGGAGCCAATTAATTTTGCCGATCATTAATTACTTTCACTTTACGTTACTATTGATTCAGTGGATAAATAAATATTACATACAAGGTATTCAGTACAAGTATATGGCACGTTGTTTGCTATTCGGTGTTTGGCAAAGTATACGAAGGTCTTTAGTAGCAAATTAATAACCAACTATTCTGAGAATTAAATCAAAGTGTTGTGTGTTTGATTACAATTTTAAAACTAATAACCCTTCTATTTCAACTGTATAGGCTTTAAATTGTGGGTTTTGAATTGTAGGTAAGTTGTAATAAATTAATCAGTGAGGTAAAAAAAATAATATAGATTTCCACTTTACCGCATCTTTTATTATGTTGATGTGGGAAAAAATGGCGTGGTTTGGTCGTTCGATTTTATATAAAAACTTGGCACATTATTCAAATTTCGCGTATCTTTGATATTGATCGTGAAGCATTAACGACGTTAAAAAGACGTCTGTTTAATACGATAATAAAGGAATCTACAGGCTTGAAAGAAATGTTATTGTAATGGTTAAAAGGACATAAAGAGCTTGTTCAAATAAAAGATTCCATTCTAAAGAAATTGACGTTTTTCGAAAGCCCCTTTCATCGCACGAAAAAATTATATGGATTCCATAATAAATGGCCGGGAGTACCTAACTGTTACATTCGTTACAATTCCAATTGAATGTGATTTTAAGTTTTTATTGGCACAATTTCCCACAGAGTCCAAACAAAGCCGTTGTTGTGTTTTTATTGTTAGCCTCAATAAATTTTCCGTTTTAAACTGATAGGCAATTTGCGACAATTTTGGTAGACAATATCTAAACGAACCGATTACCTTTTTTTTGAATAAACAATCGAATCTGTTTTTTAACGGTATTTATGTATTCGGTGCACGTTGATTCGTTCGCTGGTAGAGCCGTTGTTTTTCCACAGGTCGAATTCGAGGGAACGAATTGATAAACCGCGGTTTTTCGGATAAATATTTTTGCTGATGAGCTGCGAGTCAAATAGTGGTTTTTAAGGTAGCGATTCAGAGCGGTATGACGTCGGTTTTAGTAGAGAATGCGCAATATTAATTAATTAAGACACTGTTGCTCAGGGTATTTTTATAGGGAATTTCTCTTTGTTTGGAGATTTTTATCTGCAATGTTAGCAAATAGTCAAACAATTTAACTTATTAAGATCATTTTGACGTTCTCATTTTTGAAATTTATAAATTATTTCATATATTTTTTTGGAGTTTTACAAATTTTGAAGTCCCTACTTTTTTGTGATTTTCTAAAAAATCGACGGGTTTAACAATTTTAATTAATGGGAATTGTTTGTGAAATAATTTATTAGTTGAATAAAGCTATGAAGCAGAGATACAAGCTACATATTTAACTCATAATTCATTGGATTCGATTTTACTTCCTATTGCCTAATGGATTTTGTAAATATTTATTATTGCCTATTCAATTTAGCCAATTTCGATATTATTTTTATTTTCCACATAAATTCGTATTTGCCTCTAATACCGAATATTTTTGAACCCACACACACACACACGATGTTAACTGGTAAATTAAAAACTAACTATTTGTATCTTTCTATAAATCCACCAACAAATTAACCAAAATTACCGGAATTTCATGAAAATTAAGTGTTTAACAAAATTCATTAAAATTAACATCTACCAAAATACCAATCAAATTTTCGCTATGCTTAATTTAACATAATATATTGAATCGAAGCTGTTTTCAATATAAACATAATTGTAGAGGATTATAGAATAAAAAATTATTTTTAAAAATAATAGACTTTTAAATCTACTTCAAGGTATAATAAGTTGATTGCATTGGTAAATTTATTCAATTTAATTAAAACTAGTGTTTTTCAAGATAAACGAATTATTAGGTAGGTACAGACATTGCATTTACAAAATAAGTCACGATTACATAAACATGAAGCAAAGCTTCTGATGCGACAACTGTATAGGTATCTACTACACAAATATCTATATTCGATTGAATACGATTTATATTATATTATATTATATTATAGAAGTAAATATATTGGTTATAGAAAATTCGCGAAGATCTGTATTATCGTTTCATAAAATTCTCCATTATATGGGAACAATGTCTTGGAAATCTCGGGATCCTCTTGTTTCTGTTTGTTCGTCCCTCATTTTGTCTTAGTCCGTCTAAAGTCCGGCATCACGCCAGGCGGGACGTAATAAATCAGGTCCGGCGGAATCCTCCGCGGGCCCGGAGCCGACTCGTATTAGAAATTCCCCTGGGACATTATCTGGTCTCTGGTCGATGTCGCATCCGTCCAGCATAACTCGATTTAGATCCAGATGTCGATTATACTTAAGCCCCGCCGTGGGAATCTCCAGGTCTATGGTTGTTCTTTGCGTTAGAAAATAATGGGATGGATTTATACGATTAATGAAATTTAACAGTGTATTTACGGAGTTCAATCGTTTGGAAACTATATGTAATAAAGTTCTAGCTGAATTGATTGATTAATTTAATGAGAACAACGATTTTAAATGTATATATAATTGCAATATTAAAAAAAAAAACTTGTAAATGGAGTTTTCAATTAACTTATTTAATTACAATGTTAATTTTTTGTTAATTTTGAATTGAAATCAATTAAACTCTAATTCGTAAAATAACAAAATCAATTCACATTTTAATTGTTACTTCTACATTTCACAAAACGAATTTAATATTTATCCACAATAGTTATTGAATTTCGCCCCAATTTCTATGTATATACGTTTCGTTGTGATACCGATGATTTGCCGTACATTATTCAGAATCTATACTATTCGTATCTAAGATCTGTGATTCCATTTTTTTTGAGATTCTCCAGGTAGGACCGCGTTTTCTGTTTGAACACCTTTTCGTCACACATCTTCATTTCGGTGCGCAAGAAGGAATTGTCGAATTTACCATCGGCAGTTTTATTTATAGGTCGCTTTTTAATTTTGGGCTGGCTCGTTTCGTCCAGGACTGTTTCGTAAAACGGGCATATTTCTTCGTACGATATGCATTTTTTTAGTTTGGATTTCTTGCGCAGTTTGCTAATGAAGCCGTTGGATTTGCTGTCGTATGTACTTGGATTGTCTTCCCTCTTTACCGATTTTAAACTGTCAAGTATAACCTCAGTAGTGGTTACTAACTCTTTGTATAGGTTTTGAGAACATTCCCGCAGATAACGGCGTTTGGAATGGGCGGATTCGTGTTTTTCGTAGTCGTTCGGTCCTGCATTTTCAACGTGAATCAACGGTTTATCGTCGAAAACACCTTCGGGTAGTTTCTGGATTACTGTGGATCTTAGACGAGTGTAGTTGGTTCGTCGTTCCATTGCCCAAAATCTCGAAGGAAAGTTTTAATTACGATTAAAATGGAACTAATGATTTAGTTTTTGAATTAGATGATAATGGTTTTTGACATTGATATCTTTATGAATTTTCATATTTTTTATAATAATGAAATTCTTCTTTTTAAAAGTATTCGTATAAAGAAGTAGTCAATAGCCGTACAAACGAGCAAGTAAATAAATGCATTTAAGATTTTTTTTTAAGTTGAAATTTTGGCGGATTCGTTTTTGGTTAATACACCAATAATTTTAAAACGCAAAAAAAAGAATTTTATTATATTATCTATATGCAATTTTATTTTGTGGAAAATTTTTCGAAGTGTCAAACATATTCATTAAGTTATTTTGATTTTTAAGGAATTAAAAACTAATTTTCTGCATAATCCTTCTCAATGAATTCACTCGGAATTTTCCCTTTAATATCCGCTTATTTTACAGCATAATTTTAGGTGAGTTTAATCAAAATTGTGTCTACTTTCGGAAAACGTCGAAAAACCCAAAAAGTTCCAACTTTCCAACCAAAATAACATAATTCAATTCGAAAATAAATGAATAAATGAGTAATGATTATAAATGAACCACCAATAAATTAGTGCAATTATAACTCTTCACTCATTCTTTGTGGTAGTTTTGGATAACTACTGTTTTTAACGAATGACAATGAAAATGAATTGATTATTTCAAGCTATATGCATGCACCAATTGAAATACTATTCTACAATTAATACCAAAATTATTCGACCATGAATAAGCCGCTGATAATGTGCTCAAACGCAATGAACTTCAACATCATTTAAACATGCATGATTGATTTAACTTTCAAAAATACTTTCATCAAATTTAGCCAGCGGATTTTATTAAATTCGAAGTTAAAAACATTGAAAATGATTGAAATTTGCATACTCAATTTGTGTGCTTTTTTATTTTACATGTGTTTGGCCTTTTGTGACCATAAATTGATCAAATATCGAATGTAATATAATCGTTTGACTTTATTTTAAAATTCAACAAGTGAATGGAATAATTTAATACGTCTGCTAATAGGTTTTGTAAAAAAATCCATTGAGTGACTAATTGAACACTACTCAAAAAATAACCTATAATGAATTACGAAATATCCTAGCTATATAAACAAATATAAATATACAATAGACAAGTTAAGAAATATTTACCTACATTTCATAAAAATTGACCGATTAGTTCCAATAATTATTAAGATGGTTAATTTCAATGATAATTGTCACTAAAATATACGGCAAATCTTTTCTTCTTTTAGTTCCTTGTGTAATGGTTTATTTTATAGTATTTTTCATTAGCTCTAATTCTCTACCTTGCCTCTAATACGTCTAGCCGTCTCCATATTTACGATATTGTCACTGCAACGAATCAGACAGAAAACTCTATCTGGCATTGATGTGTATATTTTTCGAGGCTTCATAAATCGAGTCGAAATAAATAGTGAAATATTATCCAGCCCAACATATTTATGATCTCATTTTTCACCATGTGTATGAGAACAGTGAGTAATCAATATGGATTTTCGAACGGAAAAGCTAGATTATGACAAATGTTAAAGACTTCCTTCGTTCCCTTTCATATTGATTCAATGTATATCAGTCTAAAATCCGATAATAAATTAGGGCTTATTGGGAAGCGCATTTTATTTGCTCTACATGTGTGCGGAATGCACTCTTGTACCATTAGTTTTGGATTTTGGGAAATTGTTCATTGAGTTGGCAATCTGCTGCTTTTTGGATCGATTTGTTTTATTACGTACTGTAAATTTCGAACTAATTTAGTCGATAGGTAATTTTGCAAATGAAAACTCTAGAGAAGTATTAAATTTCGAAGCGATTGATTCATGTTTGTGTTTCTATTTGCTGAATAATCGCATTGTTCCAGAACTATTTCTTGGCTTGATGGGTATAGATAGGGATTATACGCCGAGTATTTACCTAACAAATATTCCTCATTGTAAAACAAATATTGTTGTTAAATAAATATTATTGATAAATTACTGTTCATATTACGCATAAAAAATGATAGGAGGAATCAGCTGGTATATTTTATTTCTATACAATTTTTGTAGTATCCATAATGTCCATAAATCCCTTAGTTTTTTGGGTATTGAACCAATTAATTAGCTACGAGCCTCTACAGATTTATTATCTAGTAACGAATATTATTGTACTTAAGATTTATTTAAACCTGCAGTAGATGCCTACCAATAAATTATATACAATTGAATTTGAATACTGAATACCGATCGCGTGCTTCAAAAACTCTTAGCATTCTAAAAAGTGTAATAAATAATCTGTTAAAGTATACCTGTAATAACTATACTTTGTCAAAATATTTTTAAATTTATTTATGTGTTTTACTTCACGAATTTGCAATTGCTTTAAAGAGGCTAAAACCTTAAAAATTTTTGTACACTCTCGAACAATTTCTTCTATTTGCTGATGCTACTTTCAATTCTAATTAATTATTGAAGCAGGTTTAATTTACACCTTGGTGAAATTAATCTTTCTTAATTAAATTAAAGTACCTATATGTATAGTTACGGTATAAATTAAATTTTTCGCCCTTTTTAAGTATACAACATAGAAATGCTTTTATATTTTTCATCGCATGCGTTATTAATGACGGAATAAAATTTTAATTAACTTGACATTTTCACTTTCAAACCATCCGTTAAATTTACAAATTATCCTCAAAATAGTATTTATTATTCACATTTAATAATTACTAATACATGTAAATATATTTTTTCTTACGTCACAGATATTCCATTAAATCATTTAGTCAAATTATTCAAAATTTCGAATACCTACCTATATTAATTTCGCTTAAATAGAACCGAATTAATAATAAATGGCTCAGTTCAGTTCAGATTAATTTATATTTAATTATGTTTATTATTAATGGAAACCTATACATATATTAAGCAATGGACATTGAATATTAATCTTCTGCAATCGAATATGAGTATTTGGTAAAGGTCGTAAATCCGCTGGTGGATATGTCATTGCAAGCTTGATCCCTCCAAGATTTTTAACAAATTCGAAAATAAAAAAAAAACTTTCTGATCAAAGTCGACGAAATATGCGCCCTTGGTAATTAAAAATGCCACGAACATAAAAGCGGTTTCTTTATTTACCTACATAAAATGCGGCGATCTTTATACCTATGTATATAGTAAAGCTGCGGTTTTTATTCCACTTCCTTTTGTGTCTAAAATAACTTTCTTGTTTCCATAATGCCCGGCCGAGTCCTCGTGACTGACAGGTCGACTCGAGGGTGTTAAAATTAACGAAAGGAGGTTGAGGCAACCCTAATTGTGTCTCGTGCTCTCGAAATAACGTTCTGAGAACGACGGCAGCGGAATCGGAAGCTTTGTTATTCAGATTCGAGGTTGAATTCATATTTGCCGGGTTTTATTGATGAGTTTTCCTTTTGGTGCGGTAATGAAACTTTTTTGCAACAAGTGGCGGGGTTACGAAACTGGAATGCTTTCCAATATTAGCGGAGCAAATTTTGCGTTTAATGTGGCTATTGTTGCTCACAAAAGACATACTTTGTTAACTTTCTTTTTATGTTTTAAAATTAATTACAGTGATGACGAATAAATGTAATTATGTTTTGTTGCTTATTTTATTAACTGATTATTTTAATTAAGTTGGTGTAAAGGATCTGAATCTGCACGTGTTTCATTTCGTGGAAAAAATCTGGGTTAACCCAAAAGGACCAAAGCAATTGAAGTTGTAATAAAATAAATCCTAGGTCAGTGAATGAACCTTTACAGCTTTATTAATATAGTGACTATTAGATGGAGTTTTATTTGACGTATAAAGTCGTCGTGAAACTTTTTTACTAAGACAAGACCGTCCGTTCCAGTTATTAGGTGTTGAAATTAGCAAAACGTCAAAGAAAGATACGGGTGCGAAATAATAAAAGTCACCATATGGCCGAGGCAACTCGAACTTCTTTGTTTCTCCGGTCACGTTCGCAATCTTGTAACACTTTGTAGTTTGCGGCAAACCAGAGCCGAACATTCCGCGGAAAGATGGAAACTAATACGCAGTCTTTCTTTTTCTCTAAATTTCTATTTCAGGGAGAAGTATTATATTCACCTTGAGACTCCGTAACGGGAAATTGGATGCTGATCTCGGCGGTAGTATTTCCTTGTTTTGCGCATTGGAAAAATTCTGTACGGATATTGGGAAAATAGTAATCAGGAGAAGAAAATGAAAATACTGCTTATTATTTGTTATAATTTGTTTTTTCAACAACGCAGTTTCGCAGTATTAATGTTGGGGGAACAATGTGAGTGGCACTCGAATAACATCAAATTTCGAGGTAAAATGTGAAACTATACCGCTTAAGAAATTATTCGCATAAAGCAGAATTACACTTCCGCTCTTAAGAGGGATATACATGCAAGCAATACACAACATGCCTACCCGTAGGTCTTGTGTGTTCTATTATTACTCATACTATCCTCTAAAGTATTGTGCATATCATTGTCTTTGAAATTTGCCAATTTAGCTAAACTCCAACGGAATTCTGGAATTACAATTCACAAAGTGCAATGAAATTTTATTATGAATTTTCCCAGATTCCTATGACCTACCATAAAATTTAATTTAGTTAATATCGACTTCACGTAAAAAATTGCCTTCTAATATTTTTTGAAATATTTCTGAATTTATTATTTTTTTTTAAATATTTCCCATTAATTGTGATTTAATAACCATCTCATCAATATTTGATTATATTAGCATATTTTAATTTAACATTTTCCATTAATAAAAGTAAAAAGTATAGAGACTGAAAAAATATGAATTCATTTTCTTTTTCCTGCATTACAAATTTCTTTATTTTTCATAATATTGTGTGGATTCCGCATTTTTTCCGGAAATATATGATACGGATTCTTTTAATGTAAAATCGGAGTAATCAAAAACGTCAGAAAAATAAAACCAATTTTAGAAAACTTAATTAATTTCTGAAATTTGTTTTCTGAAAATTGGATGTTTATATGACTTTCAGAAAAATTAAGTAGGTGGGTAGATGTGTACGTAAGTACGTTAGAAGTCTTCAG